AACAACCCCGTGTCTAGGTCGCCCATGCTATGGCATCCTTCAGAGCAGAGCTCTAAGCTTCCCCTCAACCTGTATTTTATGGTGTAGTTTTATTTTATGTCAGAAAAGATTATTTATTGTATGTGGTAAGTGTCTATTTCCATTTTGCTCTAATTTCTTAGGGCTGTGAGGATTTATTTGGAACATGACACCTATTTTCAAAATATTATTGTAGTTCTTTTCTATTAAACAGGTACCTAGACTAATTTTCCAATTCATAAAATACAAGGATTTATTAAAAGTGGTAAGATTTTGCATTGCCTCCCAGGTTATGTATCCAGTCCAGATCTCAGTTATTTGCTTATTCCCAAAAAGATTTCAAGTGGAAGATAAGATGTCCTGTTTACATGTACCTGCATAGTAATGTGGTAGTGCTTATAGCAGTCCATCATGCAAGTAGATGGCTGTGTCTAAAAAAAAAACTTGCCAGCTGTCTACACTGGCCACTTGAATTTCCGCAAGAACACTGACGATCTCATGTAAGAAATCAGCGCTTCCTGCGGAAATACTATGCTGCTCCTGTTCAGGCAAAAGTCCTTTTGCACAAAAGGGCCAGTGTAGACAGCTCAGATTTGTTTTGCACAAAAAAGCCCCGATCACGAAAATGGCGATCGGGGCTTTCTTTTGCGTAAAAGTGCGTCTAGATTGGCACGGACGCTTTTCCGCAAAAAGTGCTTTGTGGAAAAGCGTCCGTGCCAATCTAGACGCTCTTTTCCGTAAATGCTTTTAATGGAAAACTTTTCCGTTAAAAGCATTTGCGGAAAATCATGCCAGTCTAGACGTAGCTGATTAGTATACTGTCCAGAGCCTATATTTTAATTGGAAGCCTTATGAGTGCTTCAATTCACACACCTTTTGAGCTCCACAATGTTAGTAACCTTCATACTGTAGAAAAGTGGATTCAGGAAACCCTGGGATGGCTTTGCCATATACACGTCACAGTTTCTGCCATATACACTACAGAATTGTACAGTTAATGTGATACAGATTGAACCTCCCTTGATCGGCACCCTTGGAACCTGAGTGGTCCTAAACAACAGATTTTGCTGGATGCGGGGAGGTGTCAAGGCTCCCTATCTGGCTGTAGGCTCTGCTCCCAGCTGGGGCTGCACTCCTTGCTGCATGCAGCTGCCTCCAGCCCCGGCAGGGACTGCGCACCCCCATGCAGTGCCAGATCGGGTCGGATCGGATCAGTTGTGCTTCTGGCCCCCACTCCGCTACCTCCAGCCCTGACTGGAGCAGCACTCCTTGCCACCAGCCCTGGCCAGGGCTGTGTTCTCTACCGTGCTGGCCCTGCTGGGCCTGGGCTCCCCACCACCAGCCGAGTCCAGGCTGTGCTTTTGAACCTGGCCAGCCAGAGCTTTCTGGTCCAACAATATTTGTGGTCCTGCTGGTAGGGATGTAAAATTTCAATTTGGCTAGTCAAATAGTCGATGCAACTCTTCCTTTGAAGTGTAGCAATAGCTCCAGGGCTGTTGCTACACTTCAAAGACAAAAGCACTGTGGGGAACACAGGGCTAGCGGGGGACTCAACTAGTCCCCTGCTGGTCCCGTACTTTCCTCAGCATTTCAAAGCAGCAGTGCTGCATAGGGTCTGGGGTCTTCAGAGGAGTCCCCAGCTGCCCCCAGGCTCCATGTGGCACTGCCACTTTGAAACATCACAGAGAGCCCAGCATCAGGCTCCACATTTCAAAGCAGCAGTGCTGCGTGGAGCCCAGGGTCTAATCCCAGGTTCCATGCGGCACTGCCGCTTTGAAGCATCCCCTCTTCTTCTTTATCCTCTCCTCCCCCCCCCCGCCTCTTTCTGATAGGCAAGAAGGGGGGTGGGAGGAGTGACTAATCAACTAACCTGTCGATTATCCGATAAGCTTTTGATTATCTGATAGTCAACTAGTCGTTCACATCCCTACCTGCCAGACCACAGATGTTGCTTGACCAGAGTATCCTGGATTTTAGAGGTTCAACCTATGCCAAGATTACAGCAGACTCTGCTCCCTGCCCCGTCTTCCCCTTTCCCCTATTTATTTTGAGTCTGCACATCCTAAACTCTATAAAGTGCTACCAGACCATTTGTTGTTTTTAACAGTAATTACAGTTATTCTAGCTAGATTCAGCAGTGAACAGGCTTTTATTTATTTCACTCTAGAGAACATGTAGAAAATAAACCTGGCATCTTTGTTTGGGTGTTTTCATGGGGAGCGGGTAATGACAGTCAGGGGCAAAATACATTCCCCTCCTCCTATTTGTTTCTGAACACTAGAACACTTCAATAAAGACAATGCAGAATTCACACTACAATGAACATTTCTTTTAAAAATTCAACTGGCTAAAATATGAAGTTTGAAGTGTCATGGGAGATTACAGAGAACACTGCCCTCCCAAAAAACACTAAAACAAACCATCATGCAAGAACTCCCTGAACAGCTAATTATTTTAAAGCCATCCTCTGATTTTAAACAACATGTAGTACTGAAAAATCATGAACCCTCCCACAGGAAAATAAGTCGAACAGAGTTCCAGCTACAAGAAAAATGTATTTATCTTAGGACCCTTTTCAAAACATATCCTGTTATCTCTGAACGCAAACATTGTAAGCACAACAAACTTTCATTTTATGGATAAGGATCTTTATCCCAAAAAGCAAACAGACCTACCAACAACTCCAGGAAGTTAGTAGGACTAATTCCTAGAGATAATGTTTCCACATTCCCATATCACATTCCTCCCTTGGCTGAAGGAGCTGTTAAATAATCCAGTCTTGGCAAAGAGGAAAAAAGCTACCCATTTGAATATCTTGACATGGTTAAATCACAGTGGTTTCTTTTCTGTTTCCTCCTTCAAAGACAATTTATTTGGGGGGAGGGGTTAAATGACATTCAAATAGCTACCTACACCTACAAAGAACCCTGCTATTAAGAGGACACTGGAAAATTGCAGATATGGGGGAAGAGAGAGAACTGTCTTCTCCAGTGCTGTTTAATCATCAAGTCTTGTGATACCTAAAATGCAGGAGACACATAGTAGGTTTCAGTGACCTCCTCCATAGAAGTGTACTGCAGCCTTGATTAGACATAACTAGCTGAGAACACTCAAGGTAATGCAATACCCATCCTCCAATATTTCAGGAAGGAGAGATTGAAGAGTGTATTCTTGCTGGTGAGGAGGAATACCAGAAAACCTGAGAAGATGCCATCACTCTTCTTGCCAGAGGACTGGTTTGAGAGTCAGTTAAGAAGAATTTCTTTGCTAAGTTGCAGAGTGTATTGATACCACCACCTCTGCCTCACC